GGCAACAGGCTCCCCTCGGCACCCCGGAGCACGGAGCAATGACGGAGAAGCCCTGCTATAGAGCCACGACCTCTAAACCCTGCAGCCCCTGCACCTCTCCAGCCCTGCAGCCGGCAGCCCCCCAGGGCACGGTGCCCCAGGCATGACAGGGGCCCCGGCAGGCGCCAGGAACGGGGAGGGGGAGGCAGGTGTGCGGCCAGAGGCAGGGAATGAGTGGAGCACGCCCAGCCCTTGGCTTGACTCTTTTTTTCCTTCTCCTGTTTGGTAAAGCAATGAGAAATCCAAACATTACCATAAATGCTGAAAGCATCCTGGATCCGTCACGTGGGCACGGGCACACGCGCCACCGGGGGGATCCAGGCACCCGCTGCGAGGGAGCCCGCAGCCAAAACCAGCCAGGCAGGGAGGGGACGGGGCTGGCGGGGAGCCAGGCAGCAGGACGGACGGGGACAGACAGACATGGATCTGCCATCCCAGCAGCCCGGCCAGTGCTGCGGCTCAAGGAAAGCTGGATGGCACCAAGCAGCATCAGCCCGCGCAGAGCGTGCCAGGACGTGCTCCCTGCCCCGGCTCCTGCCCCGGCTCAGGGTGTTACGGGGGAAACATGTAGGGGAAGGGGCAGGCGGCTGCAGGAAGGGGACCCCAGCGTCCTGCTCCCTCAGGGCTCCTCCCTTGCTGCCTGGGGGTGCAGCGCTTCCCTCCTTGGCCCCGCACTGGCCGGTGCCTCCTGGGGCTGCAGATGTCTTTCCCATGGGTCATCTGCTCTGCTTGCTCTCCCCTTCCTTAAAAAGCCTTGGGCTCCAGGGCTGGATTTTCCTGAGCTTGTCATCACCATCAGGGCGGTGGGGCTCGACCATCTCCTGGGACATGGCGGAGCGAAGGCCAGAGACGCTGGCAGCCCCACGCCCTGCCCAGGAGCCGGCAGGGAGGGCAGGAGCCGCTCTGGGGCTGTAACCTTGGGCCAGGCCACAGCCATGGGACCTCCCGCAGGAAACTGCTTGGTGGGGTGACAGCAGCAGGGCACCTCCTCTCGCACCTGGGCTGACCCTGTCCCAAACGCTCCCGCCCCAGGGACCCCGCTAGCGAGCGCAAACCTCCCCCGTGCCAGGGCTGAGGCTGTCACAAACTCATCACACGTATGGCCCCAGGGACCCTGTGGGTAGCGGCTGCCCCCCGCGCTGCATGGAACCAGGGTGAGGGGGCCGCTCTCGTGCCCCGGCCATCCCGTGCTCCGTGCGTGCCCTGTCCCGGCCACCGCGTGCTCGGC